CCCATGCAATGTATTGTTGGCTATTGCTACAAATATACCCGTGCGACTTACTGGTTTTGTGCTCCAGGGTCACATATAAAATATAGTTTTAAAATAAAATGTGTAAACATCGATGATAATAGGCAACATATTTCATTATTGAATTTCAAATATTTTTTGCTACTGTAATTACAATGTATTGTTGGCTATTGCTACAAATATACCCGTGCGACTTACTGGTTTTGTGCTCCAGGGTCACATATAAAATATAGTTTTAAAATAAAATGTGTAAACATCGATGATAATAGGCAACATATTTCATTATTGAATTTCAAATATTTTTTGCTCATTACTGTAATTTTTAATGATGATAATATTATTATTTTTTAAGAAATTTCATACAACTAATATAATTTTTAAATAAAAATACACATCTGTTGTGCAAAATATAAATGAAATGTTTTGTTGGTAAATGTTATATTTTAATTTAAATATATTTTAAAAGATTGACTAAATTGTTCAAGTTTTATTAATTAATTTAATTAGACAATATTTTGATGATACATTTCTATTAAATCAACACTGAATTCAGAAAAATACAATTAAAAACACATAATTTAGGGGAAAATAAAATGTATTTCATGGGGCCCCAAATGAAAAGGTACCTTAATTGGTGGAGTTTAATTGAGAACAAGCAATTTGTTTTTATTCTCAAGGTCTAATAAACATGTGGAGTGCATCCCTCCCCATTAATGACAAATGAATATTGTGATATTGATATTGTATGATACGTATGGTATGAGATGTAAACCACGGCTGGGTTTCGCTAGAGACGGAAAGGCATGCCAGTCTCTTAGATTCAGAAGTATTAGGTCTACTACTAAATAATGCTCCAAACGATGGCCACAGATTTGAATGGTTTTATATCTTGTCATTTCACAGTTTAAATCCTCGATGTCCCGGTGATCTGAAGGAGGCATTTAATACAACATCTTTGGGCGCCAATATTATAAATATCAGTTTCTTGTCATCTACCTTTCTTTCTTTCTTTCTTTTACACTTCTGTTGTGCAAAATATAAATGCAATGTTTTGTTGTAAATTAATTGTTACATTTTAATTATATTTTAAAAGATTGACCAAATTGATAAAGTTTTATTAATTCAATTAGTCATCAAATATAAAGATATTGAGCCTTCAGAGGCAAAACAGTGCAGTGTCTGGGAATTTTTCTATAAAAATTAAAATATTTCAGCAGTTGAGCCCAGTTGAATATAGGTTAAATATTAAAAGGTATCAGATGTTTTATCAGATTATAATTTTTTACATTTAGATGTCACTGAGAAAAGATAGGCTGCTGTAGGCTGTTTTTTAATATATATATTTTGCTTAAAATAAACATAAACTATAGTTATTTAAATATCAAATTTTTCTCTCTCTCCATATTCTCAATTTGCACAATTGTGAAAGAAATTGTGTTCAGATTCAGTGCTGCTTGAAAGTTTGTGAACCCTTTACAATTTTCTATTTTTCTGCATAAATATGACCCAAAACATCATCCAATTTACCCCAGCGACTTAAGACTGGTTTTGTTCATGGGAGAAACACGTTATTATTTAAAGCAGCTGCAATTATTTCTGTCCTAACTTATAAAGTCTGGTGAAATTATTTAAGATTCAAATATGGGAAAAATCTAAATATTGAGAAAATCATCTTTAAAGTTGTCCAAATGAAGTTCTTAGCAATGCATATTACTAATCAAAAATTAAGTTTTGATATATGTACGGTAGGAAATTTACAAAATATCTTGATGGAACATGATCTTTACTTAATATCCTAATGATTTTTGGCATAAAAGAAAAATGGATAATTTTGACCCATACAATGTATTGTTGGCTATTGCTACAAATATACCCGTGCGACTTACTGGTTTTGTGCTCCAGGGTCACATATAAAATATAGTTTTAAAATAAAATGTGTAAACATCGATGATAATAGGCAACATATTTCATTATTGAATTTCAAATATTTTTTGCTCATTACTGTAATTTTTAATGATGATAATATTATTATTTTTTAAGAAATTTCATACAACTAATATAATTTTTAAATAAAAATACACATCTGTTGTGCAAAATATAAATGAAATGTTTTGTTGGTAAATGTTATATTTTAATTTAAATATATTTTAAAAGATTGACTAAATTGTTCAAGTTTTATTAATTAATTTAATTAGACAATATTTTGATGATACATTTCTATTAAATCAACACTGAATTCAGAAAAATACAATTAAAAACACATAATTTAGGGGAAAATAAAATGTATTTCATGGGGCCCCAAATGAAAAGGTACCTTAATTGGTGGAGTTTAATTGAGAACAAGCAATTTGTTTTTATTCTCAAGGTCTAATAAACATGTGGAGTGCATCCCTCCCCATTAATGACAAATGAATATTGTGATATTGATATTGTATGATACGTATGGTATGAGATGTAAACCACGGCTGGGTTTCGCTAGAGACGGAAAGGCATGCCAGTCTCTTAGATTCAGAAGTATTAGGTCTACTACTAAATAATGCTCCAAACGATGGCCACAGATTTGAATGGTTTTATATCTTGTCATTTCATAGTTTAAATCTTCGATGTCCCGGTGATCTGAAGGAGGCATTTAATACAACATCTTTGGGCGCCAATATTATAAATATCAGTTTCTTGTCATCTACCTTTCTTTCTTTCTTTCTTTCTTTCTTTTACACTTCTGTTGTGCAAAATATAAATGCAATGTTTTGTTGTAAATTAATTGTTATATTTTAATTATATTTTAAAAGATTGACCAAATTGATAAAGTTTTATTAATTCAATTAGTCATCAAATATAAAGATATTGAGCCTTCAGAGGCAAAACAGTGCAGTGTCTGGGAATTTTTCTATAAAAATTAAAATATTTCAGCAGTTGAGCCCAGTTGAATATAGGTTAAATATTAAAAGGTATCAGATGTTTTATCAGATTATAATTTTTTACATTTAGATGTCACTGAGAAAAGATAGGCTGCTGTAGGCTGTTTTTTAATATATATATTTTGCTTAAAATAAACATAAACTATAGTTATTTAAATATCAAATTTTTCTCTCTCTCCATATTCTCAATTTGCACAATTGTGAAAGAAATTGTGTTCAGATTCAGTGCTGCTTGAAAGTTTGTGAACCCTTTACAATTTTCTATTTTTCTGCATAAATATGACCCAAAACATCATCCAATTTACCCCAGCGACTTAAGACTGGTTTTGTGGTCCAGGGTCACATTTAATAACAGACAATTTTTCTCAATGAATAAATAAAAAATATATATTTTTGTCTCATTTGTTTGATTGGGTTCTCTTTGTCTACTCGTCTTATATTCGGGTCAATACGGTAATACAATTTTGTGGCTATGAGTTCAAATGTCATTATGTGCATAATTGTTAAATTTTCCTTTGAACAAAGTGACTGATCCTTATTTAGATAGTACAAATAATAAGTGTTTAATGCTTATTTTCTATTTATTTATTTTTTTGGCTGGACATTTTTTTGGGGGAGCACAAGGAGAATCTGGGGGGGCATTGCCCCCCCTAGCCCCCCCCTAGACCCGGCCCTGCATTAGCATCATCTGTATTAAAGAGAAAATAATGCTCATTGGTTCTGTCCGCCTAGTTAGGCTACTTATCAATAGGCTACTTCTGTTTTAAACATTGAGGCTGATATAAAGTAGTGTGCCCTGCGTGCCTGTCCGCTACGTCACTGAGTAGTTGTTTCAATTTATTTTCTAAAAATCCATTTTTTGACCGATATATGTAGTGGGGAAAAAACAGAATTAAAGTATTTAGTGTTAAACAAGTTGTTTTTGGAATTTCTCTGTCTGAAATAAAGCTGCTCTTATTTTCATTGATGATCTGATTACAGTGTTCTGACATGGGCTATTATAGACTGTTAATCATTTTAATTATTAATACAGAATTGGCATTACTGTATTAAATTACAGTAAAATCATTATTGTTGTTATTATTATTGCACTTCTATATTAAATTTATAGGTATACTACAATTCATTTGTTCGCAATAATTTCATAGCAAGAAAGGATGATAAAAGGTTAAATTAGCTTACTCTTATTATATTATGTTGAGTATTACGAGAGATAGATGGACTGAACGAGTGTGATTACCCGCATCTGATACAGCATTCATTTTTAATCTCAATCTCATAATAAAACATTAGTTTGAATTAATGTCCCCGGAGGAAATTGATGATGTAAACTGTCGTAGTAACATGGTTCAGCTGACAACGCTGGTCCATGCATTTGTTGGTGCGTCTAAGGTATTGTTGAAGTAAAAGTAATGTCCTTGTTTACAACCTTGTCTTAGCCCCTAAATATAAAAGTCTTTGCTACTGACTCACTCATAAAAACAGTCACGTGTAGCCATCTAATGGTGTAACAATGTAACCAAAATCACCATCACTAACACAGAGACTGTTTCTCAATACCAATACTCTTACTAAATACTACTATTATTTATATACAATATACGGTAATTTATTAAACAATAATTTTAATAAACAACAATAGATATCATAAAAGTTCATCAGCACAAACAGCTCAGACCAAAAGACAAGCATTCTGGTGGAGGGGTGATCATTTTGGGCTTGTTTTGTAGCCACAGGACCTGGACACCTCACAGTCACTGAGTCGACCATGAACTCCTCTGTATATCAAAGTATTCTAGAGTCAAATGTGAGGCCATCTGTCCGACAGCCAAACCTTGGCCAAAATTGGGTCATGCCAAACATGACCTACATCTACAATCTACAATAGAATGGCTTAAAAATAAAAGAATCAAGGTGTTGCAATTTCCCAGTCAAAGTCCAGACCTCATCCTGATTGAAATGCTGTGGCGAGAGCTGTGCATAAACAAATACCCACAAACCTCAATAAACTGGAGTAACGTTGTAAAGAAGAGTGGGCCAAAATTACTCCAGAATGATGTGAGAGACTGATAAAGTCATACAGAAAATCATTACTTCAAGTTATTGCTGCTAAAAGTGGATATACAAACAACTGAATCATAGGGTGTCTTTAGTTTGTCACCCATGGCTTTTCCATATTGGCTTTATTTTTGCTAAATAAATAATGTGATACATCATGTGTCACTGGGTTACTTCATCTAAGGTTTTTTTCCCCAAAAATTTTAAGACCTGCCAAGGACTAGATTATTTTTTTGATTATGTCCTGATACGGAAAACCATGGAATTATATAGGGTCTCCTTTCTTTTTCACACAACTGTATATATACACATTCATATATACATAAATGGAATGTATATGGAATGTCCCAAACTTTACATCACTCCACTCTCAATGTGTTCAGAATTGGCCTTCAGAAGGAGTTGACGATTTTCGAGATGTCCACGCATCATTTTACCTGCGCTGTAAGGAACTTTCTCTCAGAGTGCTCCGAGTGATGGCTCTTTGTTTGAACCTGGAAGCAGAGGTCTTTCTCAGCGCACATAAGCATATTGGAAGTAAGTAAAATGATATGCACTTCTTCTTGCTCCCAGTGAGTCAATGGCTGGGAGATCTGCAAGACCTTAATGATGTGGATGGTTTTAAGGTGATGTGAATGGAACGACTCTACGGACTCTGTACTACCCTCCGGTGAACAGCACATGTGTGAAGGAAAATCAGCTGCGCTGTGGTGAGCACTCTGATTATGGTAGTATCACGTTGGTCTTCCAAAGCTCAGAGGGTGGACTGCAGGTGAGCACCAACATAGGACAAGAGGAGAAAAGATTCATGTGCTCCTTTATCATTTAGGATAGTAATTCTGGATCTGGATGCATTCTTCTCCTTCAGGTTCTGAACCGGGCTGGAGAGTTCATTTCAGCCCCCAGCATTCCTGGAACAGTTCTGATTAACATAGCAGACCTGATGCAAAGGTGGACCAGTGATGTCTATGTGTCTGCCGTAAGTTTCTTTACTAATGCTTCATTTAATTGTGCAGTGCAGGCAATGCTCATTTAATTCTTTTCTATTGTTCTGACCCTCAGGTTCATAGGGTTTTGCTGCCCCCTGCAGGTGACTCCAGCACACGTCAGTCTTTGGCCTTCTTTGTACAACCTGATGATGAGGCCATCATTTCATGCTGCGATGGATCAGATAAATATCCTCCTGTTAAGTCAGTTGATTACCTTCTATCAAGGTTCAAAGATTCTTACGGCAAAAAATAGATCCTGGTTTAAGTGAAATTTTATGATCTTGTATGTTTTAAAAAAAATCAGTAATAATCATCAGAGCACATAATTAGTGAAGCTGACATAATTTAATACATTAGAGAAACGTAAAGCACAGTCAATTACTCCTGAAATCACAAAAGATACTCAAACAAGGCAAAAAACAAAACAAAAAAAAACTACCAACCAAACAATCCATACTTATTTTATGCTTAACTTGATTTCTATATATTTTATAAATGTATACATAGTTTACAGTAGAACACTGGTTGAAAACCATGAAACTATAATGAATTAAAATGAAACAGCTTGAAATAATTCACTGGTGTTGCAGCAGAAATTCTTTAAAATTTTCAGACCCTTGAGAATCAATCTAGGATTTAAATCAATCTAGACTTTAAACTAAACTAAAGTGGAAACTGAATTATATTTTCATGTTATCTTCCATGTATGTTTTCAATAAAAATATGTTTCAAAAAAAGAAAAAAGAAGAAGAAGAATGCTGAATTGTGGGGCATGTAACATGACATGAACTATTTGTTACCCAGGTATAATATCAAATGCCTAAATGTGAATAGAGATCTATCCTATGAGGTTTGGCCATGTTTGTGCAAAGACTGCAAATCAGACATGAAAGAACAAAAATATACAAGAACAATAAATGTACAGTTAATTTCTCTAAACACAAGTTTCAAGTACAGTCCCTTTCCTCACTATCTGCACTTTTGATAAGAGACGTGTGATTGTCCACAGAGAATTCTGTTAACTAATTACATACTTCAGCAGCCTGTTTTAGGATATCATAACTCAATATTTTATGTTTGAGAATACCACCACAGTGATTTGTTTAATTATTTCAAGGAAAGCCAAGGTCTTTGCTAAGAGACAGTAAATGGTCCTTTTGAATGTGAGGATGGAAATATTTGACACAACAGACAAACGCATTACAGACACTGAGAAGAGCTTGAGCTGCTAAGAATGTGTGGGGAGGTCTTGCTGGTGACCTTGTGACATAGGCTGACTGTCCCCAGGTAGTATTTCCACAGCAGAAGGTACTGCATTCGTAAAAAACAAGAAAATATGATGATAGAAAATCAATATTTTGTTCCTATGATGGGGCAAAATGGCTTTGACCAGAAAAATGTAAAACAATTACACTGACCTTTGGCCTGCACTGGAGGCTCTGTTTTCTGTGTTTTCAACCGCTCCATGTGCTCTACTGCCTAAAAGAGAAGATCAGTAAGTATGTTAGAAAGTGTTGAGGTGAGAGAAAACTAGCTTCAGACATTTCCATTATGTTTTAAAGGGGTCATATGATGCGATTTCATTTTTTCCTTTCTCTTTAGAGTGTTACAAGCTCTTGGTGCATAAAGAAGATCTGTAAAGTTGCAAAGACTAAAGTCTCAAATCCAAAGAGATATTCTTTATAAAAGTTAAGAGTTAGCCACACCTACCTAAAACGGCTCGTTCGAACACGCCCCCACATACCTACCTCACTATGTGGGAAGATTTGCATAACACCGCCCAAATGTTCACGCAAAGAAAGAAGGCGAAGGTCCATATAGGAGAAACAATAATTTACATTATGTGGAAAATAATGTGTTTTTTTAACTTTAAACCGCATAAACACATTTCATTACACCAAATACACAAAATAATGTTCTTTTTAGCAGCATCATATGACCCCTTTAAAAAGGCAATATTTTAGTGACAACAATACCAGCATAAGATAAAAGCAGTGGACCAATAAACTCAATCATATACAGCACACTCATTTAAAAGTGTGGGGTTGGTAATATTACATTTAGTCATTTAGCAGACGCTTTTATCCAAAGTGACTTACAAATGAGAACAATAGAAGCAATCAAAACAACAAAAGAGCAATAATATGCAAGTGCTATGACAAGTCTCGATTAGGTTTATATATATATTCACATAAATATAATAAAAACAACAAAAATGTAAATGTTGAGGTTTTTAAAAGAAGAATTCTTATGCGATACGCTATGTGAAACCATTATACGTTTTAAAATACAATATGGGGTAAAATACAATATGGACATGTTCTTGACAGGTTTTATGAGATTTACCCATGAACTCATGTCAGATGAAAACAACATCTCTTAGTGGTTATTTAGTAGTTATTTTCTGACAGATTAATTTCCATGAATTTTCCATGACTTTCCCAGTAATTTTTGATGACCTGGTAAAGATTTCAATAGAGAGTGGACTTAAAGTGAAAATAAATCAAATATATATATATATATATATATATATACAGGGTTTCTACAGACATGAACAAGTTAAATTTAAGACTCTTTAAGACCTTTTTAATACCACCTTATATGAAATTTAACACTTAAACCTGTAATGGAAATGCACATTATATTACATACATATATGTAATATTTAATGTGTTTAAAGTCAAAAGAAAACAAAATATCGCTGTAATAAATTATAGGGCTGGGTTTTGACACAAATTTCACGATTCGATTCGATTCTCATTCACAAGCTTGCGATTCGATTCGTTATCGATTATTTTAGATACATATCAGGTACAGTACATGCCAAATTTTCTCAAGGAAAAAAATCTCTCAACTAATGCTGTAAAATATACATGAGAGTAGGGTTGCAAAAAGGTGGAAAATTTCCAGTAAATTTTGGAAACTTTCCATTCTCATTCACAAGCTTGCGATTCGATTCAATGTCGATTATTTTGGATAAATATCAGGTACAGTACGTGCCAAATTTTCTCAAGGAAAAAAAATCTCAACTAAAGCTGGAGAGTCAGTTGGTACTGCATTATAATATTGAAGGTTAAAATTGACTGATTTGTTAAAATTACACTTAATGAAGTTTTTAAAATAATAAAGTTACAATTACATCATAATATTTTTACTTCAATTCGTTTTTTTTTATATATATAAACATTTAAATGGTGGCTGTCATAACTTGATGGATTTATTCAAGCATAAATTAAACATTGAAGAACAGTAAAATTTATAATGAATGTTATATGGTGCATATATTTAGCAAAATGCTCCTCTCTACAGTTTATTTTTCTATCTGACTAATGAGTTTAGTTCACCAAATATGTTTTTCTGAGGTAAATGTGACATTACGTGACATTGTTTACAAGCTGTTATATTGACGTCTTTGAGCGGCTGAAACACTGATTGAGCGATTACATGAGACAGGATACGGATTGTAAAGTTGTACTCTTTCTTTTAACTTACCTTCGGAAGTTTAGTCATGCTTTATTTTTGATTAAAACTGGTATTAATGTGGAGGAGATGATCAGTTCACGTGCGCTACGCGCTGTACGTGTCTGTTGAACTGAGGCGCTACAGCAATCTGTCACTCCACATTAAACAGCGCCAAAACGGCATTTATTGTTTAAATACTGCAATACAATGGACAGAATTTGAAATCTGAGACTTTGTTTCATATTA